AATCATCCTTCTCCTTCTAGGTCAGGAATACCTGGTCTGGACTTCGTGCAGGTTTCCTTTGCCTTTCACTTCTCCTGGTATCCATATCTTCCCTTTGCACTGGTGCGGCATCGCTATCCTGAGGGGCTTAGTCTGTGGTGGGCTCTGGTTCTGCCTCTGCGACATTCTTGCGGGGCTGTCCTCTCTTCCTCTTCTTTAGGGGATCCCTTCGTACAGGGATTAGTTCATCTGGGTTATCTGTCGCAGGTAGGCTGTCTTCCTCCTTTTCTCTATAGTACAGTTTGACCTGCGTACATTAGAGCTTTAGTGGGCCATTCTCCCTCTTAATGATAACGTCTCTCCCTTCAATGCTCTTAATCTTGTATGGGCCAGTCCAGCCTTCCTTCTCTCTCCATGCTATGATCTCTGAGCTAAGGGGGAGGTTAAGAACTTTGTGCGTTATAGGGCTATTACAGGTGTTAATTGCGTGATTAATGTTTACTCTTGCACAGTCCTTTTAAAGTATCTTTATTGCCTTTTGTACAGCGCTTGCTTGTGCAATAATGTCCGGCAATAGCAGAGAGTCTAGGTTGATTCTTGGGTATGCCCCAAAGACCAGCAGCGTGGGTACTAGACCGTGTGGGCCAGCTGTGTCGTTTAGAGCCTTGACTGCCATCTGCAGGATGGCCTCATCATCTGTACGGTCACCTAGCTCGGTCTTTAGGATGTTGAACGCTCGTCGGAGAGGTGCGTGCGCGCGCTCGACCTTTCCAACTGCCCAATGTGCTTCTACAGGCATCTGCCTGCATGTAGCTCCCACAATCTTTGCACGTGCTTGAAAATCCTCTGAAGCAAAGTTTGTACCAGGGTCATGCACGATGTAGTCTGGGGGTCCTTGATAGGTGTTGATCCAGCATTTGCACAGTGCATCCCAGGTATCTTGTGCGGACATGGATTTTAGGAATGTGGCAGCCTGAAATGATGTGTCTACATTAATAACATGTAGGACATCCCTATTGTTAATTTGTACAACATTAATAACAACCTTATAGTTAAAGTAGGTGTTATCCTTAATTGTGAACTTAAATCTTTGTAGGGCCTAGTTGTACAATTAGCAGAGGTGGCAGAACTTCTTAATCTCTTCCAGCACTGCGGCATCAACGTTGTGGCCGGCGCTGGTTAGCATCTTCTAGAGTCTCTCTGTGCGGGGGTGTCTAAATCAGCGGTGGAGGCGGCGGAGTTCTAATTCAGTGAAGAAAGACATAGATTCTTCCTTGCTAACATTAAAGAAAGGGTGTCCCTATTTTTGTACAACAGGTACTGTAGTTTTGTCTTTGCGTACAATAACATTTAGAACGTTGTTGAAGTATGCCCCAAGTTAGTTAGCATCTGCCAGCGATAGCAGGAATGGTGTCAGAGTCTCCAGGATGTGGTATGTGACTAGACCAATTGGGTTCTAGATTCGTACAGTACTAATTAATCCCTTTAGTGTCTGGCCTCTAAAGCTAATATCTGTTTAGCTAGGTGTCTAATTAATTTCTGTACGTGGGTTCTCTCGTACGTACGCCTTAAGTTAGGACTTGCCAACAGTAGAGATCTTTGCTGCGCCTGTGTCCCATAGTTCGCCTTGGTATACTGTACAGTATCAGTCGTTAAGGATAAACTGCTCAGCATATTCCCTAGGTTCAATGCTGTAGATGTCCTCTCCCGTTGCACGGTGTAGATAGGCAGCAGAGGTGAGGTAGTTGACAGCTTCCTTAGCATCCTTACCCTCCCATTCTATTTCCTCTGCATTGTGTGAATTATCCTCTTCCTTAGGGTAACCTTTAAAGTCTTAGATGTACAAGGTAATAGCTTCGCGCAATAGGGTCTCATCATAGAAATCTTTGTACAAGGCGACGTACTGGTTCTTCGCTCGCGTACAGTTATTGCGAGGGTAGTTTGATGACTAACATCCTTCCTTGTGGCAGACAAAGCACTTCTTTGTCCGCGTGCAGTTGTCTCTAGATTGTGGCCTAAACCTAGATAGAGATCTTCCCCGTTGTCCTCTTCTGCGCAGAGGGAAGCTTCCTTCTTGTTGTGCAGACTCTTGTCGTGCGGAGTTGTATCAGCGGTCCGTGTAGTATGCATCAGGCGGTTCCTAGAGGTATTAGTTTGCCCTTCAATCTATAGTAACTTAGAGTGATGCCCGTAAGTCGCTGAATAAGGCTTCGCACGAGGGCTTGATAGTGAACATGGCATGTTCTAGTTCCGGTTGTCCTCGACAGGCTCGTACGACGGCAGTGTGCAGTGGAACATCCCCTTGGAATTCTGTTCCTAGTGCCCTTTGTGCGAGCGTGAGCTTGTCAATCATTGTTTCAAGGACTTCGTGCAAACTCTTGTCAGGGTTCTCTTATCAGCATCGTGCGAAGGTCATTGTTGTCCAGTCTGTCCAGTACTGGCTATGGTTCACATTAGTGTTAAAGTGACTGCTTAAGGTGTCGTACAAATGCTTCTAGTCATGTCCAGGGCCTATGTTGTGCATATAGTACATATTCGCCCGACCTTCTAGGATGTCTGGAAAGATGTCTGCGTACTGAGTTTTCTGGATATCTAGCCGTCGACATAGATCAATAAAGATCCTTGTTTTGTCTGCAAGGATGTCGTACGGTCAACCTGTGTAGTTGTTGTCCTTCTTCCATGCCTTTTGGAATTGTACGATCTTGTCTGCTGGGAGTTTTTCTTTGGCGGTTTCCCTCTGGGGTGGAAGTTCGTACGGGCTGTGATGTGGTATGGATTGTGCAGGTGGTATCGGTGGTGCATACACTACTGCAGGCGGTGGTGTGTACGATTGAGGGTGTGGAGCAGGCGTTGGGTAGGGTGGCATGTATTGTTCGTACGGTGATCGGTGTAGTGCTGGCTGAGGTGTAGGAGCAGGTGATGCTGGTACGTTTGGTGTTGATGGCAGCATTGTGTTTGGTCTGCTTCCGTGCGGAGCCTCATACAGCGATGG